CCCCATTGGTACCGTGCGGTAGTTCCACGAAAATTTCTGCGTCAACGGGTGCGTAGAGAAAAGCGTTCGCGACATCGATTTGCCGTAGCTTCTTTTTCTTCACGGCGGCGATCGCGAGAAGGATTCGGAGCGAAGTGTGTCGGCTGACCGGAGCGAAAGTTTCAGTGAAGTCTCGCCCGTGTTCTTGGTCGAAGCCGCGCACGACCCAGCGTGCCTTGAATTTGTCAATGGTGCCGTCGGCCTTCGTCTTCACGCGGAAAACCCATTTTCCGGTGAGAATGGTTTTGTTCCGTGCTACGCCGATGGGGACAATTTTCCACGTGTTGCGCTCCTCTAATGCCTTCAGTTCTTTGTCCATGGCTTCGCGCCATTTTTCCCTATGCTCCCCCCCCAGAGCCTGCTGAACTGTGGCAGGCTCCTTAGGAATGGCCGTGCCGTGGACTGCGGTGACGAGCCCGAGTATCTGGAGTCCACTTGGTGTGTAGCGGGGGAGTGACATGTCCGCGGGATAAGCAGCTTCGTCTCCCGCTTCCGGATCAGGTGCGAAGTTGGGTCCTACGCGTTCTGCTTCGTTGGTGTTTACTTGTGCAGGTGTAACGTAGCCGTTGTCAGCGAAATGGTAGTAGGCGTCGGCGTTGATGCTTTCGCATGGGTTTTCGTCGTCCATTGGCACGTCAACGGAGCAGTAGGGGAGGGGTCCGGCTTCTTCCGAGGCTCCTTCCACGTTCTGCTCGTCCAGGTCAGCTTCATCTTCTGCCGAAGCGAAGGCTCGGTCTCCACGGAAGCCACCTGTGGGGTCTCGGTTTTCGTCCAGGTTGGCAAGGTACGTCTGCAGTGTGAGTCGCTCGTAGAAAATGACATCACGTGCTGCCACTGTTTCTTTTGTCTCGACGTCGAAAATCTTCCATGCATTGTAGTGTTTTTCGATGCCCAGGTGTAGTCCCCACTGTGCGCGTTGAGAGAATCGTCCTGCTCGTGCAGATGGAGGTCGGTACTGTACCATGCAGCCGAAGACTCGTAACATTTTTGTGCTGCCCAATTTTCCTGTCCACAGCAGATGCGGTGATGTGTTGTTCGGGAGTGACGACGGAGAAAGCAAGTTGTGCAGCATCACGGCGTGGTCCATTGCTTCGGGCCACTGGTGGTTGGGTAGCCGCATGCCACGTAACAGTTTCCGCATGGTATTCTGTAGGGTCCTGTTCATCCTTTCTGCTACACCCTGCTGTTGATGGGCGTAGGGAAGGGAAATGAGTCGCTTGATTCCTCTCTCTGCCAGATACTGCTTGAACCTTTGTGAGGTGTATTCTCCTCCCCCGTCTGACTGGAAGCTTTTTAGTTTGACGCCCGATTCCCTTTCTGCTACGGGGAGCCAGGCGACGAACGCTTCGAACGCCATATCCTTGCTTGGAAGATTCAGGTGCCAAACGTAACGTGTCGCGGCGTCGATGAACGTGATGGTGTAATTGTACGCGTTCTGCCCCGGTTCGCGATTGTACAGGATGTCGCTGTACACTTTCTCGAGTGGCGCGTAAGCTGGTGCGCTTGGGTTATGGTGAGACGCGAACGGTTGATGCGGTAAGTCAGCTTCAGGGCAGGTGAAACACGTTCCACGTACTCGTTGAAGTTCTCTTCCATCAGTCAGTGGTAGTGAGTCCTTGTCGAGTACTCCTGCTCTTATCGTATTATTTAATACTGTGTTGCTTGGGTGTCCCATCCTTGCGTGCCAGGTGCTTTCGTCGGCGCGATGTCCGGGTGATCGTCGGTACAGGTCGGAGTTGGAGTAGAAGCTGGTGGTGAAGTTGGCGCTTCGATGAACTTCTCGTGGTGCTGGGTGTAGTTGTTGCGCGGGTGTCGGTGGTGTGTCGTCGACGAGGAGCGGTGCCGTTGAAGGGCCAGCGATTGGTGTTGACGTTCCTGCTGCTGCCGTTGACGGTTCTGCTACTGCCGATGTTGTCTCTGCTGCCGCCGACGTTGTCTCTGCTGCTCCCGATGTTGCTGCTGCTGATGTTGTCTCTGCTGCTGCTGATGTTGTCTCTGCTGCTGCTGATGTTGTCTGAATTGTTGCTAACGCCCTTGTTCTTTCTGCCGCAGGAATGGTGTGTGAATACCAGAAGCCTTCTGGACTGAAGTTTGGATCAAGATCTGGAGGGTGGGTCCAGGAGGTGAAGGTGACCATGCCGTCGCTGTCTGCTGTGCCGAGATCTGGGACAAAATCAAGAACGAAGACGTTGTTTTTTAGGATCGCCTTTCCGATGTAGAGGCCGCCCTTCCCGTGGTACAGCTTGAACTCCTGGGTGGTGCTGTCTGCCTCAAGGTGAATGCCCTTCGCCATCAACTGACTGACGCTCAGTAAGTTGTAGCCGAGGCCTTCTGCGATCAAAACCTTAGACATTTTTAGAACGACATTTGTCTCTCGTGATTGAAATTGTACCACGCCTTGTCGTCGTGTGCGCAGGTTTTGATTATTGGCGACGGTAATGACGACTTCGCGTTGAAGATGGTGTTCGCGTTGAACGAAGCGTCCCGAAGAACACATATGTTGCCCGCAGCAACTGTCCAGGAACCATGTGTCTTTCCCGGATGGTTCACTCTGGGCGATAGCTGCGTATGTTGGATTCGGTTGAAGTGACTCGCGGCGAGGTGTGGTGTTGTCGAGTTGTTCTTCCGGTGAGTAGTGTGGCGGTGACTCGGTGATGCAGGAATCGGTCAATTTTGCCATGCAACTGACGATGTTCCTTGCTCCTTGTGCAGGTTGTCCCGTCGGTGTCGTTTGAGCTTGAGCGGTGGGGTTCGCTTGTATGGAAGTGACTTGGCTGCTTGAAGGTCGAAGCTGTCGCTGTGAAGGCGTTGACTGTTGTCGATTCGGGCAGTGCGTGCGCGGGTGCCCTGACGTCTTGCAGATGTGGCAGAACGGAGGTACGGGTTTCGGTTGTTGTTGTTGTAGCGTCGCTGAGTATGGAATGCGAATTCCGGTGTTGATGTCTTCTTCTTGTGTCGTTCTTCTTGCAGGTCCATGTCTTGCTGCTCGGCGTGGATTTCTGCGCAGAGCGCTGCTTCGGAGATTCTTCCGTGGGCTCGGAGAATGGCCTTTGTTGCGCGCCATTGAGGACCGAGGCCGCCAATGATAACTGTCACGAAGGCGTCTTCAGAAATCGACCCTCCGCATCGAAGAAGCTTGTCGCGCAACTCGCGACATCGGCTGATACACGCCATTCCTTTCTCGCCTGCTTTCATTTCGACCGTTGTCAATTGCGCCATTAACCGACTTTGATTTACGCTGTCTGTTGCTTGATACAGGCTCTTCAAGTGGTTGTATGCGAGCTCCGCGGAGTTGCCGTAACCCCGGTAAGACCGTATATTCTGCTGTTGGGACGGGGTGATGTTTCTCAGTAGAATCGTGTACGCCATCATCGACTGATAGGTGTACTGCTGCTTCTCATACTGTGTGCCGTTCGTTGGGTATGGCAGGGACCCGTCGAAGAAGCCATCATTAACTCGAATTCAAACGACCAGGTGAAGAAATCCTTTCCATCGAAAGGTCTTGACGTCTGCATCTTTAGAACGTGCGCGAACTGCGACTGAACTTGTAATGCGTCCAGTGGCTTTTCTTGTCCAGGTGAAGGCTGCGGGTGTGGCATAAAACTGATGGACCCGCGCTCATACGGAGCAAAGGTAGGCTGCTGTTGATTTCCTCGTGCGTATGATGAGCCGTCGAGACTCATGGGAGTTGCTCCGTTGTTGTTGTTGTTCGACTGCGCAGGTGCCGACTGTTGGTGTTGCTCGTAGAAGGACATGAAGGAGAAAAACTTCTCCATCATGCTCTGATCAAATCCTGCAGGTTGATTCGCAGGAGTCTCGGTAGAAGTTGCTCTTGGTCTTGTTGCCGTGCCCTCCTCTGTCTGCAGGCCAGAGGCAGGAGGTGGAGTAGGAGTAGTACCCTGTGAGCCGTTAGAGGAGCTCCTTTCCTTTTGTGTAGCCATGCCTGTTGATGTTGTAGGTATCTTGATAGTTGAGTTCCCCCTGATAGCTCTCATACCATGTTGGGCTGAGAAAAAGCCCTTAGGATCTTTGCAGGAGTGAACTCTAGGTAGGACTTGTTGTAATTAGCGGAAGCTTTAATGAGAAGTGCTTGAACCACCTTGCGCTAATATGTGAGGGCAAGGTCGATTGATTAAGACAAAGAGATACAAGATTATATAAGAGTACAAGGAATATGAAGGGATACGGTTATAACTGTTTTACTGTTGCTGTTGCGGTTCGATACAGTGACGACTCGGGCAACTGCTCTGTAGCGAGTCAGTTGTGTGTCCTTGCTGTCGCGCTGTATTTGTCAGGTCAAAGGTCGCTGACCTTTGACTTTCGCGTAACCTCCAGCGGTTACTTCAACCTCCGAGGGTTGACTCGCTGGTGCCTCGATATGCTTTGCTTCGCTTGTGTCTTGGTGTTTCGACAAGACTGATTGTTTCCAACAGGGCATACCCTAAAGGGTACAACACTTTAGGGTTAGGGTTAGCTATACAACCCTCTACTCTCCATCATTCTAGTCATTACTGTTTCCTTATTCTGACACACATTTGTAGCAGCACGAAGATATAGCGACTGACGAAGCACATGGCGACGGCATTGGATGTGATGAAGAAGTGTGGTGAAGGCAAAGGCCGCATGCAAGAGAATTACGATCAAGGCGATGATTCTGATTGAGGCTTCAATGCTAGTGATTTGAGGAGGATGATGGTGGCAAAAAATTATGTTCCCTTCTAGTCTTTCATTCTCTCATTGACATGTGCTTTTACCCGGGGAAGAAAACGCATATTATTGTGTCCAGGCCAGGAACAAAAAGGACCACAATCTATTTACATATTGCTGCACCATGCAGAACGAGCACGATTGCCACGCTCTTATTGCAAGCTAACGATGAAAGCATGGAGGAACTGCTGCAGCTACCACCAAGAGGACACGGCAGTAAAATGATGCCATTTCAGAGGGCACATAAGGGCGCATCACTGGGTGATGATGAGGGGGCGCATCATCATGTTGTCCTCGTGCTCCACGATGTGGCAGTGCCACACATACCCGGGGCCACGAGTCGCGTCAAAGGGGAAGGGCGTGCCATCCTGCACCACGGAAATCACAAGGGCAACCACTAGTCACGTCAATGCGTCATTATGATTTCTGTTTCAAAGATGGGGGAGTGAGCTGACTCACCTGGGAGTACCAGGGAGGGAGTGAGCTGACTCACCAGGGAGTACCAGGGAGGGAGTGGGCTGGCTCACCTGGGAGTACCAGGGAGGGAGTGGGCTGGCTCACCTGGGAGTACCAGGGAGGGAGTGGGCTGGCTCACCTGCGAGTACCAGGGCGTCCAGAGGGTGAGCACATGGCCGGGCGGCAGAATGGTGGTGTCCTTCCACCCGCGCTCATACGCGGCCACTTGCTGCTGGGCGGCAGTGAAGCACGAGGGCAGCGACGCGTTGGTGAAGGAGCAGGCGCCACTGTTGTAGGCGGCGAGGTCGAAGGGGCGGCGCCAGGCGGGGCGGTGCTGAATGAGGTGCAGGTGGATGGGGTGCGCGTCGGGCGTCAGGTTGATCAGATGCCACAGCTCGTCTGAGTTCTGCGAGAAAAAACAGGCAACAAATGCATGAACGTCATGAAACCAGTGATTGCGGATTTGCTACTGGACTGTCACTCAAGCGCAGCTTTGCCTCTCAAGCGCAGCTTTTCCTCTCAAGCGCAGCTTTTCCTCTCAAGCGCAGCTTTTCCTCTCAAGCGCAGCTTTTCCTCTCAAGCGCAGCTTTTCCTCTCAAGCGCAGCTTTTCCTCTCAAGCGCAGCTTTTCCTCTCAAGCGCAGCTTTTCCTCTCAAGCGCAGCTTTTCCTCTCAAGCGCAGCTTTTCCTCTCAAGCGCAGCTTTTCCTCTCAAGCGCAGCTTTTCCTCTCAAGCACAGGCAGAGTTGAGCGGCTCACCATGCGGGGTGTCTCAGTGGGCGGGTCGGAGTACATCCTGCGGTCGAAGGTGAGGCGGATGGGATTGCTGGTGGCGGGGTCGGACTCCTCCACCGCCGTGATCCACCGCTCCAGCACCACCTGCGATGAGTCCATGGGGGGCACCGCCTGCACCGCCACGACACACGCACACGGAATGGGCGCACGGGAATGGGAAACTATGAAGCCTGTGAGGGGCGCACAGAGAGTGTGCGGGGAGCGATGGTGAGAGAAAGCCATCGGGGTGCAGGGAAGGAGAGTGTGTACCCAGACCCATCCACACACCATAAGGGTCTTGGGAATGGGCGGGGCGGGGAGGCGAGGACTGTCGTGGTCCACGATGAAGCGCATGACAACGGCCGTGTCGTTCGTCACGGGGTCGCCCCCAGGGAAGGGCGCGGGGGCGTCGTTGGTGAGGATGACGTCAGCACAGGAGGAGCGCAGGGTGGAGAAGTCGATGAGGATGTCGTAGCGCTCCGCCGGCGCCACCACCAGTGATGTCCGCACGGCGGGCCGCGGCAGGTACCCGCCGTCCGACCCGATCTGAAGGAGGGGAGAAAGTTGAAAGGAGTCGGTGAGATGCAGGGGTTGGTAGAGGGGTGCGGAGTGGTGCTGGGGAAGAGGGTGCAGGTGAATGAGGATGAGTTGCAGGCGCACCACGGTGATGGGCAGCTGGTCCCCGGTGAAGGGCGGAGTGAAGTCGGGGTAGTTGCGCGAGGTGGCGCAGACGAAGCGCAGATTGAAGAAGCGCGCATTGGCCGCCCCCAGCACCCGGAAGCGGTAGAGCGCCCTCTTCACGCTCAGATACGGCCACACCTGCCATGCATGCCACAGGGCGGGGGAGAGCGCAGGGGAGAGGAATAGTGGGAAGATGAGGGGGAGAGGAAGACAGGGGGCGGAGGGCAGGCAGCACCTTCAGTGCGACGAAAGGAGAGTAAGGCTGGAGCAAGAAGGGGTGGGAGGAGCGGAGGGCGAGCAGCACCTTGCCGGTGACGAGGATGGTGTCACCGATGTACTCGGGCACCCAGTGTGGGTGCACTCGCGGCACCACGCCCCGCCGCGGGTAGTCGATGGACCCGTTGGGGAAGAAGCGCCGGTCCGCCAGGGCCAGCGGCACCGCGAACTCGCCCTGGGGCAGCCAGGCGAGGGTCCTCTCTGTGCCGCGCGGGTCGGTGAGCAGGAAGAAGCCGGCGAGGCCGGCAGCGACGTTGAGGCGAGTGATGCCGACGGCGTGGTCGTGGTACCACAGCGTGGTGGGCAGCTGGTGGTTCGGGTAGCGGTACAGCCGCGTGCGGAAGGCGCGCCCCACCTCGCTGTACTGCGTGAACCACGCCTCGGGGTGCCCGTCTGCATATGACGGATTCTCCCCCCCGTGCCGGTGCGTCACTGCGGAGAGGGAGTGCGAGTGGAACAGGGATGTGATGAGAGCATGGCCATGTGAACCGAGTAGGGAGCGTGAGGGCGTGATGGGTGAGGAATAAGCGGCGTCAGGGAAGTGTGAGCATATGCACCGATTAACCGATCAGGAAGCAGCGCGGCTCACCGATGGGAATGCCGCCCAGCAGCGGGCGGGCGACGTCGTCAATGGTGTAGTCGACGGGGAACATGTGGTGGCGGTCCGTCAGGTGGTTCTCCCAGTACACCTGCTCGCCCACCCCACCCGCCACATGCATACATATGAGATGAGCGCGCAGCACACGAAATAAGCGAGCCTTGGCTGTCAGTGCAGAACCACGAAAGCAGCGGCGGGCAGGCAGGGAGGCAGGGAGGCAGGGAGGCAGACGGGGGAGCGCTTGCCCGCACCGTCCCAGTGCGGTACCTACCTGGGTGGGCACGCCGCGCTTGGCGACGAGCGTGGGGCCGGGGTAGTGCGCGGTGGCGGCGCTGCGGCCGTACGCGTACAGCTTCGTGGGCGGCAGGTCGCGGTGCAGCTTCTGCAGCCCGTGCGGTGGGGGAGGGGGTAGGGGATCGAATGGAAGGTGCGTCAGCGAGGGAGAGAACGGCAAGGGAGGAAAAGCGATGACAAGGGAGAAAGGAGTAATGAGTGAGGGGAAGCGACTGCGGGGAAGCGCGGGAGGGGAAACAGAGGGCGGAGGGGGGAGCTGGCCTGGCGGATCTGGTAGGCGCCGATGCGGATGGGCGCGCCCGTGGACGCGTCGATCTGCTCGGGAATGGCGTCGCGCAGATCGTCCACGAACTTGCACAGCGCGCGCCGGGGGAAGTCGCTCACACACTCCGGGCCCGCCAGCGGCGCCCCCGCCACTACCGTCGCCATCGCTCCGAAGGACGCGACGACTGCTGCGAGGAGCAGCGCGAGGCGGAGAGGCGGCGGGAGAAGGCGAGGCATGGCGCGCGATGAGACGGAAGGCACACTGCGAGTGGAGCAGCGACGAACGAGACAGACTGAGACGGTAAGTGGCGCGGGCTGTACTCGCAGCAGGCCGGGGTCTCAACGAGTGAGTGCGACGCTCGGTTGAGTTGCAAGTGGAGACCACACCGAGCCGAATATATAGCTCCAACCGCCCTCGACGGCCAGTGTGCGGATTCGACATAGTACTATCGCGACTCGAGAGGGGTCCGGGCGTGTTGGGAGGATTCTCAGACAGACGTCAGCCTCTCGTGCGGCTTGGGATTGCAGCGGTGACAACAAGCCGTCTCCGACGCGTAAAGTTCATTCTCGACGTCGATTAGGCTCGGCTGACACTCTGATCTGCGCGATAGCCACGCAAACGGCCATATCGCCGTTGGTTGGACAAGATCGACATACTCTCGTCCGATCGCCAGCGACCTCAGCGGCAGGCTGTGGGGCCGTCAACCTAGAGAGCTCCGTGATGGCAGTCATTCTGCCCCTGCCGACTGCGGTGACTTAGGGCGTATTCCTGACTTCGTGTCATCCGGCCCTCGTGTCATCCGAACATGTGGGACACTCAAATGTGCCGCGTCGGATGACCCGAAGTCGAGTCGGCAATTTTTTTCTCGGGGAAACAAAATTTCGGATGACACGAAGTGCGGATGACACGAAGTTACGAATACGCCCTTATCCCGATGGCTCTGACTCTGGTGAATGTGGTGAACAGCGGTCCTGTGGTGAAAGTCAAGCACCGCTCTCAAACGTAGTTGACCGTACCTGCCCCGCACTAGCAGCTGGGAACCTGAAACCGCGTTAGAAGTCAGCTCCCGTAGGGCACTACGCAGTAGCCGTGCAATGCACAGCTTTCTTAGTAGCTACCTCAAAAATTAGTTGCACGCCTAGAAAGTAGTTTCATGCATATCATTAGATAATGTAGGGATTAAATCAAAGTCACATAAGGTTTTATCTGATAATAGATTGCTAAAATATATACCAGAATAGCATAACCGTGTGTTTTCGTGATTGCTTGTAAAAAAAAAAAAACAATTTTGGCTATTAACGATTGGATTCGTTTGCCGCGGATTAACTCCTATCAAACTTACTTCATTTGCCACGTATTTTATAGTAGTAATATTTCATTAACGTATTAAAATCACCAGAAACTGTATATCGCTCACATCAGCATTCGGGTGATTGTGTCAAACTACATGTATTTGTATGCTAAGCTGTAGTGAGGCACACCGTATGGAGGATAGCATTTCTAGGGTTTGTACTTGTACTCCAACCCTTGCTAATCCAACCAATCCGCTGTTCTAACTTTGAGATGGTATCACGAGTAGGTTAATGTTCCTAGCGTAGTCTAGTTCGTCCCGCCCCGTTTCGTTAGTAAGCTCGTCCCGTTCGTTAGCAGGCCGCGCCCCGCCGGTTAGCAGTCCGCGCCCCGCCCGTCAGCGGCCTGCCCTGCCCCGCGCGTTTACCGCCTGCCCTGCGCACTGCCTGTCCCGCCCCGCGTGTTTGCCGTCCCGCCCCAGCGCACTGCCTGCCCCAGTCCGCGCAGCCTGCCCCGCACTAGCCGCCCCGCGCGCTCGCGCTGCCCAGCCCGCGCTACCTGCCCCGTTCCGCACAGCCCGCCCCGCGCTACCCACCCCGCGTGCTGCCCGCCTTGCGCTGCCCGGCCCGCGCTACCCGGCCCGTTCCGCGCTGCCCGCCACGTCCCGTCACGAGGAGCCGCGCGCTAACGGCTCCCCGTGCAGCAGCAACTGCGCGTGCAGCAAGCAGCCGCACGCATGCCAGCCGCCACGCACACAGCGCCAGCGCGCAGCTGCACGCGCACGCCTACTGCCATAGGCATTCCCCGCGGCGGTTGGCAGCCACAGTCGACCTAGGGCAGATTAGGGTTCGTGCCTCTCCGTGCCTGGTGTCTCTAGACGAGCCTGTCAGAACATTATAGCTCATGCATATTGTGTAGGCTATAGTGGGGTAGCCCATAAGGGGTACAACCCAATTAGGGTTAGTACTTGTACCCAATTCATTCATAGTTCATTCATTCCTTGTTTCTTCTCATGGTATCGAGCAGGTTCCCTAGTGGGAACGCTTCCTAGGGCCCACCACGAATTTTTTTTTTTCCTGCCCGGAGCGCGCTTCGCTCCCACAGTCGCGCCCTCTCACGGCCCCTCGCGTCGCCCTTAGCGGCCCCTTACGGCCCCTCGCGCCGTCCCTTACGGCCCCTAGCGCGGCCCCTTACGGCCCCTTACGGCCCCTAGCGCGGCCCGTCGGCCCCTTATGGCCCCTTACGGCCCCTCGCGCGGCTCCTTACGGCCCCTTACGGCCCCTTACGGCCCCTCGCGCGGCCCCTTACGGCCCCTCGCGCGGCCCCTTACGGCCCCTTGCGCCGCCCGTCGGCCCCTTACGGCCCCTTACGGCCCCTCGCGCGGCCCCTTACGGCCCCTTACGGCCCCTTGCGCCGCCCGTCGGCCCCTCGCACCGCCCTCAGCGGCCCCTTACGGCCCCCTACGGCCCGTCGCCGCCCTCCGCGGCCCCTCGCGCCGCCCCTTCACGGCCCGTCGCCGCCCTCCGCGGCCCCTCGCGCCGCCCCTTCACGGCCAGTCGCCGCCCTCCGCGGCTCCTCGTGACGCGGCCCCTCGCACCGCCCTCTCCGGCCCACTGTCGCCGCCCCTACCGCAGCGGCCGTCGCCGTCCCTGCAGCAGCAGCCGCAGCCGTCGCCAGCAGCAGCCGCCACCACCTCCCTCGGGGCCGCGGCTGCTGCCGCAGCTGACTGCACCCGCCGACGCCGCTCCACTCGGCCCCGCCGCCGCTCCCCACGCGGCCTCGCCGCGCCACCTGAGCCGCCCGGGCCTGCCGAGCCGCCGTACCGCCCGAGCCGCAGTACCGCCCGAGCCGCCCGAGCCGCCGTGTCGCCGAGCCGCACTTGCTGCCGAGCCGTCGTACCGCCGAGCCGCCCGAGCCGCCCGAGCCGCCGAGTTGCCGAGCCGCCGAGCAGCTGAGCCACCCGAGTCGCCCTGTCCGGTAAGTGCAGCGCCTCTGTCCCTGCACTGCCCTCACCCTACTGTTAGCGCTGCTAGTCTACTGCTGTCATGGCTACCCCTAGTGTCCTCGCCTTTGACGCTGAGGGTAGGGCCATTGACTTTGACGTCTGGGTAGATGACCTGCAACTTTTCCTACAGTGCGATAGGGCAGACGGTCTCTCCCTCTTTGACCTCACCTCTGGTGCCTCTCCTGCCCCTGCTGCTGATGCCGACGCCACTGTTCGCTCCCAGTGGGCCACTCGCGATGCTGCTGCACGTCTTGCTGTGCGTCGCCACCTGCCTACCTCTGAGCGTGCGCACTTTAGCCAGTACAAGAGTGCTCAGACCTTGTACGACGCTGTAGTTGCGCGCTACTCCTCCCCTGCCACTGCTGCACTGAGCCGCCTCATGCTACCGTACCTCTTCCCTGACCTTGCTGCCTTTCCCACAGTCGCTGACCTCATTACGCACCTCCGCACTAGTGACACTCGCTACCGCGCTGCGCTTCCTGCTGAGTTCTGCGCCAAGAACCCCCCCCCCATGTACATCACCCTCTACTACATAGTCACCCGGCTCCCTGACTCCCTTCGCGTAGTCAGGGACCACTTCCTCTCCGTTTGCCCCACCACTCTCACCGTTGACCTCCTCGAGAAGTCCCTCCTAGCAGCAGAGAAGAGCATAGTCGCTGTAGGAGCCTCTCGTGGTGACCCTCGCACCCCCATCTTTGAGGGGTGTTCCCCCTCCCCCCTTTTGCCCTCTGTTGCCTCTGCTGCTGCGGCCGACCTCGTTGGGCTTGAGTCGGTCGGTACGGCGTCTACCCCTAGCGGGAGACGTCGCCCTGGCAAGGGCAAGGGGGGCAGGGGCACTGGAGGAGCTAGCGGGGGCGGTGGAGGCGGCGGTGGAGGCGGTGGAGGGGGTGGGGGTGGCGGTGGGAGTGGTGGCGGGGGCGGAGGTGTCGGTGGCGGCAGTGGAGGCGGAGGCGGCGGTGGCGGTGGCGGTGGGAGCGGAGGTGGCAGCGGTGGAGGAGGAGGCGGCGGAGGAGGTGGAGCTGGTCGGGGTGGCGCTGCACAGAGGGGCGGCTCCGGTGGTGGTCAGCGCCAGCAGCAGCAGCAGCAGCAGCGCACTCGTGACATCCCCTCCCCTCAGCAGCTCCGTGAGTGGTACACTGCACGCCAGAGGGGTGGGGGTACTGGCCCGTGCACCTACGTCCTACGCACCGGCGACCGCGCGGGTGAGCAGTGCGGGGGTGCGCACTCCACCCAGCGCTGCTTTGGCCGCCTGACGGACGCTTGGCGTCACCAGTTCCCTGAGGCCACTGAGATCCTGACCTTGACTTTGACGGGTGAGCTGTCTAGGGCGGGTGTAGCTGTCTTTGACCTTGACTTTGATGCTATTCTTGCTGCCATGTATGCTGTGACTATTAGTGATGAGGGTGACTGTTACCGGTGTTTTCCGCCCGACCCGGGCATTGAGACTGCTGCTCTAGGTACTGGTGAGGCTGCTGCTCTAGGTGCTAGCGAGGCTGCTGCTCTAGGTGCGTCTGCTCCCTCAGGTGCTGGTGAGTCTGCTCTCTCAGGTTCTGCGTCGGCTTCGGCCTCCCACACCTTCACCCTTGACTCGGGGGCTTCTCGCTCCTTCTTTCGAGACCGCACCACACTCACGCCGCTTGGCCGGCCAGTTGCAGTCTCTCTGGCAGACCCCTCTGGGGGTCCTGTCCTTGCTCACTTCTCCACTGTCCTCCCGTGTCCGGCGGCCCCCTCTGGCACCCTGTCTGGTCTTTACCTTCCCTCGTTCTCTACGAACTTGGTGAGTGGTGCTGACCTACAGGATGCGGGGGTTCACCAGTTCACTCCTGCGAGTCAGCGGGTGACCCACTGCACGGACGCTCGGACAGGCCGATACCTGGCCACGTTTACCCGTCGGCCGGGGTCGAGCCTGTACACCCTGACCACTGAGTCTCCTCCAGTCAC